CGTTCCTGGTTAGCAAAACTGATAGGAAAAATTCTTCATTTCAAGGAAGTCTTGGAGCTTCTATGATTATTTTGCCTTATACTGTATCCTCAGATTATCAATTAGTATTCACCTTGGAGTCTAATTTAACAACACTTTCGTATTGTTTTCAGGTCAATTTCGAAAATTGGCAAGTGGATTGCAAGCGTCTGAATCGAGTCAGAGCGCGATGTATTATGCCGATGTTTCATAAAACTGGCATTGTTGCTGTTCGAATGAGTCGCGATGGGGGTCAAAGTTTCCCGTTTTTCGGCAAATTCTACGTTGGTGAGTTTCCACATGGTCGCGTGATGTGGTCGGAGTGCTTCGGGCGCGTGCGGATCCTGTGCTGCCGTCACTGCTGGATGAATCAGACTTTGCGAATCGTGGGGTAGGAGTGGTGCGCTAGTGCGATGCACCAGCGACTCGGCAATGTGAGAAAGTGACAAGTCTGATAGTGAAAGCATGAAAGCATGGGAAAATGGCCCGAGTCAACGTGCGCATGAGGACTTTCCTCACCTTCCCACACTATGAGTCACTGATGCATTGTTCGAAGCCTCGCTGGTATCCCGCGATTCGCTAGCGATACGCTGGATTCGCAAAGTCTCATAGCGCCCACGACGACACGATATAGTAGTACCAAAATAGCGTACGAAATTTTGGGTCTCATCCAGTGAGGGGGAGGCATGAGCTGCGACAGTTACTGCCGCCCACAGATATTACAAGTTCCGCAGGGAAAGGAAATCCCTGAGGTGCGTGAACCATTTCGTTTTCGCATTCACACCCCACCCCGGAGCTTCCTTCTCTGCGAAAATTGGATGCTTCAGGCGATATGAACTGTCGCACCACATGCCCCCTTACTGGACGAGACCTGAAATCTCGAGAGAACCAAGGTAGACCCTTCAGAGAATTAGAAAAGCCATTAGAAAATGTGTTGGTGCAACCATCTAGCAGTTGTGACGCAACCGCGCGCGTTTCAAGTACTCTTTTTTTTCATCCAATCTCTGTATTTCACATGAAAGTTTTTAATACCTGTCAACGTTTTCTATAGTGGTACCTGATCGTGCACCTGCTCTGATTTCACTGAAAGATGACGTTGACGATGTTAATAATCGATGGTGAGTCTTATGGATTGATTGTCTACGGCATTGGTTGCTAATATGAAGTACTACCGTAGGTACCAGCCGTATGCCGAAACGCTGACGATGTCTTGGCAAGCGTTGAATTTAACCTACAACTTTGGTGCTCGTGTTGATATTAGTCTCTATGGCTATTGGGAAGATGCCGATCGGTTAGCTTGTGATACATTACTTTTATCGGATAGCCATGCAAAGCACTTCTTTTTAGGTCTCATTTCGTTCAAGTGGATTACCTGGCAAAAGGTGTGCCAAACTCAGGCACTTATTCATTCAAGCCGACTACGCTTCAAAGGCAACCGCTGATCAAAGTAGGTCCAGGCCTAACATCTTGTAGACCGATGTCAGACTTTGCGAATCGCGCGATTCGCTAGCGTCTGCGGTCGCGTCGCGGCCAGTGAATCACTCAATTGGCTGGTACCGCAACGCGACCGCGGACGCTAGCGAATCGCTAGTAGCGAATCGCTCGATTCGCAAAGTCTGACATCGGCCTAGAGGTCTAGATATGATCTTTTTGTGATTTGGAAAGTTGGTATTTATTCCTGCAGAATGCTTGGCAAAAGTTCACATTTGGATTCGTGCGAGTATCGTTGTCGGATGCCGAAGATGGAGTACTGTGGAGTAAGCCGACTCCATTCCCATGGTTAGCATTAATTTATGTAGATTGTTGATATACCACTGCTTACCGTTTTTTCTGCTCGGAAAATTCAAAATAATTCCCGATAATAACGTAGCTGTAATAGGCAATTGTATAGCTTACCTTCTATGCAGGTATTATCTTCCGGATTGGAGGAAACACTATGGTACAAATTGGGCTTTGGACATGTGCATTGAATGGTTTGAATACGATGGTAAACGCAGAAACTTCCAGATGGATCTGACCAAGGATACTCCTTGCCCTTGTAAAATGTCTCAGGTTCGGATCACAGTACAGCTAGCTAATCGGACTGAATTTTTTGGAAGTACACCAATAAGTCAACGGGCAGCGTCGTGACAGTCACTCTTTGTTATCGTTACAGCATTGTTACTTACCAAGGCAATGCTTTGAACTTCCCATGACATTGGAAGGAAACCCCCCCTTAACGAAATTACTCAAATAAGCTCTGAACCTGATTTACAAATATGGACATTAAAACTGCTACGTGAACTTTATAAGAAGTTACGAGCATTCAAAGTTGGCAAAAAACGTTACTGAGGTAGGCTTACCTGATGGAATCACGCTCGCCGTGGCTCTGCGCTAAAAACGAGTATCAAATTCGTAATCAGGGCACCCACTAACCCTTATAGAACAAGAAACCAGACAAAAAGCATCCGTGATTTCATCAGGTGAGCTCGCCTCAGTAACGTTTTTTGCCAACTTTGAATGCTCGTAACTTTCTTATAAAGTTCACGTTTAATGCAATTTGACTCACGTCCAAACTCTATCGATGTTAATAGTCTCCCTTCAAAAGTCCATGGAAATCAAAAACATTTCCTGGTAGGTAAGTGTGCCTGCGTTTATGAAGAACCACACGCCCGACATGCACGAATTTGACCCCGTTACTTACTGGATACACAGCTGCATTCATACAGGCTGATTTCAAGGTGCCTGATTTTCGCAGCGCAATCACTCCTTACTACCGGCTTCCCTCCAAGTGTTTAGCTACAATGAATTCATAAGTGCTTTAATGAGCAGGATGAGCTGATTTGCATCCACAGACAATTTTTCGCCTTACTTAAGATCACACGCCTATTCAGTAGTCTTGGCGGTGTGCCTGTACGAACTTAGTATTCACTAGGGCGTAAAACTCTTTGTTGACGTATGTATATCTCTTTTAGACTAGGTTTTATAAACGTTGTCAGAATTAGATGAGGTTTTCGTGTTTGTATGTCGAATAAGTAGTAGACGTACGGCAACTGTCCCAATAATGATTTTACTATTCATTATAGGCTCTGCTTGATCTCGGCAGGTACATGCCGATTATGGATTGCGATAAAGACGGCGACACCTCATGTCCAGTCAACAAGGGAGCTCAGCACTGCATCCAAGCTGTCCAGCCAAGGTGGGTCGAAATTTGTCGATGCCACTTTGCATAAATCTTGTAGAAGGCAAGGCATGAACTGCAGCACGTCGCGGCAGTGACGGCACTTAGTTGATTGATGTATTGGAACTCGATTTTTCGCTACTAGACTTAATGTAATACCTATAGTTTGGAATTTCAGCTCGACTGGCTCTTCACAGCAGTGCTGCTACGACTATGACGGATATCTAATGTTCACTGATGACTGGGAACCGGATGGTGACTATAACAGGTAGTAGAATCTGTCTACAATATTTTCCGAAGTTGAGGTGGCGCTGTGGCTGCGAGCAGCCGGAGGTATTGATGGTCTGTCATATTGACCAACTAACCTCTAATAATAATATTTGGATGCTAATTTTTCTTTTCTCCTGAAATTTTTGAATTTTCCTCTCGAGTTGTTTTCCTATTAATTTTCAGGTTCTTCCAACCGGGTACACCAGCTCGCGCTCACAAGTTTGGTGCGTCACCATTTCGGCAGCCGCCTTTCATTCCAACCATGTCGAACTATCAGCTGGATCTCATGCCGTACAGGACGTGTTGCACGTGAGTTGTTCATTTGCTTCGTCCTCTCTAGTCTCATGAGTCTTCTTTACATACTCAAGGCTCTCCAAAGTAGATTGCTCCCTAGATTTCTGTGAGATGGGTTTAGTGTTATTTGACGTTCTCCACGAAGTCGGGGAGAGCAGAAACTCACGGTCAACGGGTTCACTAGCGAACTTCGACCATGGAGTCTTTTCTCTTCCGTCCTATCTTTTCGTCGAAGCGGTTTCGGGTTCATACACGTCCTGAAATTCTTGTTGGGGATATTATGCCTATTGGCCTGAATGTTTCAATTACCTATACGAACTAACTTCCGTATTTTGTGAGAATTTTTCTCAATGTTCCATGTGTGGAGTTGCAGCATAACCTTCCATTTCTCGCACGAATATTCTATTGCGAATTTTTTTATGAGTTTTCTCGTAACAATTTTCAATCAAATCACCTGCCCTACTGAATAGTATTTTCACGCAGGTCCCCGGGAACTTCATTTTTGATCACTTCAATTTCATTTGCATTTCTGTTCGCTTTTAGGAGATTATGACTACTTCTACGGCCTGCCATTGAAAACCTATCAACTTGATTCTATTTTGGTTGCAGTCTTATTTCATAATAGAATTTTCGTTATAGGTCGCGACAAACTGTGATTTCCCTTCACTACTGGGCCTATGACAAATGGATGACTCAGCGGCAATGTACAACTGGCCCTCCTGGGGTAACGCCGTTTCTCCTATATATGGTGCCACCGACTGTCGAGTCCCACACCTAACGATATAGCACGCGTTTCATGGCTTTAAGGTGCATGTCCGGAAGGGAGCTGGGAATCCTTGACTAATTCTCATAGACTGTAATAAGGCACACCAATTTCGCGATCGGCCAACTTCTTAACGTCTATGAAAAAATGTGATCTTCTTGTCTTTGCTAGCCCATTTAACTTTTTCTCGGCTCGACTGCTTCAGAGCCCTATCACAAATGTTCAATTTTGCAACAAGGCGTTGCTCATCATCCTTCAGATTTCACTGGTATTTAAACCGAATCTCCTGATCTCTCGAAATCGAGACCTGAAATTTTTAATTAATCACCGCTCGTAGGAAGAGCGCCCTCTCTGGTCATTCTGTATACCACTGTATGCCCTCTGATTTTGCCTGGTTTTCGTCGGAGTGGTCCAGTGCTGCCTTCTGTATCAGCCGAATCAGAAATTTGGCTGGCTGCGCCCATATCGGTGCCTGCACAGCCGCGTGGGAAGAACTCTGCTTAGTTTATGCATGCTCCATACATTCGGCCTGGGCACTAGTCATCCACAATTTGGCCTTCATGCTTATTCTTCTCATAGTAAGGAGTTTTATGACAGACATGCGTAAATAGATAGGCCAGCAAACATTAGCGCTTTGTAATGGTTGATTAATCGGGTTTGGTAGCTTTTTTTGTACTATTGATTTGCTTAAACCCTCCAATAACCTGTTTGCCGCGGATGCCTACCCGACATATCCAGATACATTTACGGATCGGAGCCACATGTCAGTAACGTTCGATGGTGCCAAATATACATGTCGCCGGGAAAGATATTGGGGTTCGTGGCTAGTAATGAGCGATGATCCTACTCATAAGCTGTGATGCGGTTCAATGTGCGTTATGAAGCAGCACGGACGGACACATTGTGTGAGTTATTCATAAAGAGTGCGCATGTTGATATGCTCCTCTATGTGAACCCCTTCGCCTGGTCCTAATGAGGATGGTGTTAGATACTAAAAATGAAAATGGGTATAATTCCAAATATGTAAGTCCTACAATTAAGATTGTGTTACAGACTTTTCTTATGAAATTCTTCATTTACCGTTGCACCAGCTGCACTTCCACGCTCTTATGTTGGGCTTAATATATGAATAGTCCCTTTTTATGATGTATAAAACAAATCAAAGATAATCGCGCGCATTCACGACTAGCAATTAATTTTTAGAACACGTTATAATACACAATGGACGATGTAAGCACCTAAGGTTCATTTTCTCCCGATTTTTTCCCCATCTATGCTTTTTCTATACTGTTTGACTGACCCTTTCAGGGCATTCGCACGTGAACGCCACTGTGATCACCGGAATTGCTGTTCAAGAAAATGACAGCTCTATAGTGCAAGTAAGGTTATCTCTTATTGGTGAGGAAGTAGAACGGCTAGTGGCTCCCACTTCAGGTGTTTGCACGCAAACCGATGCGTCGTTGGCGTTACCGCACTGATGTCTATGTCGATGGGGTTCGACGATTCTTTGACAAACCACATTGGAAGTACCAGCAGTTCAGAAGTAAGTTTGTTCTTGGCTTTAAATGCTGTCCTTGACAGATAATCTGTTTAGATGTGGATCTGCGCAATCCACTGCAGAATATGAATCAATCCGAGATAATCATCATGCTGAAATCCGGGGTCGGTATTCAGGTGCATGAGAGTTACGGTATGCTTGATGTGTTGGTGTCACTCCCACCAAGCTATAATACTACATGCAAGGTATCATCATTCGCTCCATTTCGTTGTTTTCTTATCATTTTATTTCTTTCTTTGCAGCCAGGTGTCTCAGCCTCTTCTTCGCTAAATGCTCTAGGACGGTACGACGCGTTGCTACACGACGTTGGGGCTATTAGGTAAGCCATCTGAAAAGAAGCTATTAATAACAGTTTCGTTCCGCACACTACGTACCACGTAGTAGTCTCCAGCGATGTGCCGAAGCAGACGGTATCAACGATTCTGACGTGCGCCCACCTGGCGCACGCCTTGCCCACTATAAGCTTTGACCACTCATTCTTTGCTGGTCTCCATCCGCTTTGCTAGCCACCAAGCTTCTCGGAATCCTACTATACCTTTGATTTTCTTTCCGCTCACTCAAGTTAGTCCGCTGACCATACATATTTCACCTGTCCTCACTCGGTAGTGTCACCGCTCAATTCAAGATGTGCTGAGCACGCCTTGTTATTGTTCATTTCCCCTCACTTCTTTTAATTTATACACTGCCTTGAAGGCAAAGTTCGGGCTCAGACCCACCTAAGAAGCATTTACGAT